TAAAAACTAATTCTCTCTGGTAGCCTTTTAGAGAAACACTGCATTTTCTTAAGCAATAACCATTTTAAAATCATTAAAATCATTAAAAAGTTATTCTAATTAAGTTACAAATGGAAGGTAAATCAGTGGTGATTCCATTCCACTTAAAATCATGTTTGTATTAATATTCCAGGCAGACAAATTATTTTGAAATTCAGATATAACTTACCCATTCTCTTTTTTCTCCCTTTTGGAGACCAGATTTATAAATAACTTTTGCATGCAAGTAGAAATATATAATCCATCAAGGTATAAACAATCACAAACTATCCAAATCTATCAGAAAAAGCATGAAGTCAACTATCAGAATAAAATAATTACTTTCTTTTTGATATTACATATTTAGGTAATACATAACATGCAAAGAAACTCTTACATATTTTAAGTGATTACTGCAGGTAAATACAAAAGGAGGCTGAAAACTTAGCATTTAATCAAACTGTTGATTTCCAATCTCAACTTTTTCAAATATCTCTGATTAATTATGCCTGTATGTCAAAGAGTTTTATGTCACTAATTTCACATTTGTGGTTTCCAGGAAAAAAAATAAAGAAGATTAGAGAATTGTATTCCAACAGAGAACATTAGTGAAGCGCTGTAAAGTATAAACAGATAACTGGCAGTAAGACATGTTCGTGATTTTCTTGAAAATGCACAATAGTAAATCAGCTATCTAAATAATTTCAAATATCCATTTTTTTAGTAACAATGTATCTATGAGAGTCTCTCTACACTTGTAATTTCTCAAGTAAAACTTCAATTTTTCTTCTATCAAGGCCATGATCAAATATTTTCAATTTAGAAGGCATAACTGGAAGGGCCGGTGATATAGCTTAGTGGCACCACGCCTAACTTGCAAGCACAAGGTCCTGAATTTGATCCCTGGTACCACACACACACACACACACACAAAAAGACATAAATGGAAATTTTTCTAGTAAAGGGACGAATATATCTATAGAATATATCTATAAACGTTTTGATAATTTTTCTAAAGAAGGCTTCCAGAGATTACAAAAGTATTAATTTTGTTTCCAATATTTAAGAAGTATAATCTGTTTTATTAGTGTGAAATTACCTATTTAAAAATATTCAAGTATACCAGTACTAATCTCATCCTCAGAATTCCAGATGAAGAATGGTAACATGATCTCTGATTACTTTGTTCATCATTGTGGGAAACCTCAGCTCTCCGAATCACTTAAAAGTGATCCTGGATCATTACAGACTTGCACTTTGTTTGCACTGTCTCTGTGGTTCTGGAATCTCTGTAAATTCCAATAGCACAGCCACAATCCAAATGTGTCAATAACCATGGCCTCTTCCAAGTAGCTTAGCATATGAAGTAGAATTTCTAAAACTAAATGTTTAATCCTTACTTAGGTGTCCAATCATAATTAGTTTTCTTCATCCATGGTATAAAGTCATATACACTGTGTTTTCAGACCTTGATATAAAATATTCAGAATACTGGTGGCCGGGCATTTTTGAGGTCAGGTGGAAGTACAGACAATAATTTAAAAGCAGTATAAATGCACATATAGAAAAGAGATGCCTAATAAGTTAACAAAGACTGTATTTTGGAATGTTTAATACTATTAAAAATAACAGTGGCATATACTCTTTTAAAATTACCGATAGTACCTTAGTTTTATTCACATTATACAATGAAAACACTGTAGAGGAGAATAAATCCCTTGAGCAAAGAAATATAATGATGTATTGATGTTTTAAGCCAGTGAAATTTCACTCAGGTTTTACTATGAGTTACAAGATATCCCTCAAGGCAAAATTGTGTTTCAGTCCCTTAGAAATATCTCTTTAAATGGCTACATTTTATACAGCATTTCCCCAATCTTCCTTTAAAAATGACTAATATTATCTATTTTGATCAGTCCCCTCAATTTACACATGCAGTATGCATGCATAAATATGCAAAATAACTAATGTAACTGGATTTTATACAATGAATATCTATTATCAAGTATTTCACAGTAATACAAGCAACTTAGGTGCTACTCCTCTCTAGATTCTTCAGGAAAAATAATTTATAGTTTAATCATTTTTAATTTATGTTTTATACATTCAAATCTGGCCTTCCTGCCTAGCAATTAGCTTTTTAATAGTATTTACCACTTAGCTAAATAGCGTATTACTGCCTGCTTCAATTTTCCATTCATGCTCTAACTGTTGTCATTACCTCAAAAAGTAAATAGAACGTTTTAAATAACACTTCTTAAACCTTCTTATAAATATTTGGTAATAGGCCCTTAGTATTGCATCCATCAACATCTATTGGGAATATCTGCCATTTTAACTAAGGCAAAGTAATTCATCTTAAGAATTAATCATTGTCGTTAAATCGGTATCAATCATGATAGCATTACAATGAGAAATTCAAAGAAACTGGTGTAAGCGTTTTTGAACCTACACATTGAAGTTTAACATATTCAGAAATACATTGTACATCTTTATAATGCACAAATACAATAGAACACAGCAAACTGCAGGAGATACATATTATATTTGCTAAGCAAGAGAGATCACAAGGCACTTAAATAGTAATTGTACTCTCATCCATCGAGACTTGAAAAAAAAAGGTTTCACAGAATATTTAACCTAATTATCATACACTTCCAAATGTTTTTTATCATAAAACATATTAGGATTCAGAAACTTGGAGAAAGCTCGAACGGTTAAATTGAATGAAAGCACACCCAAACAATTCAGTACTGCCCCAAGAGGAAGGAAAGTAGTTATTTTAAATTTCCTTAGTCCACATTTGCCTTCTATCCGTAGACTGGAGGAATCAAGTAGAGAAGATATTATTAGATAATTATTGGTTTGATGATCTTACCTTCTCCACAATTTTCACAGACCTCAGAGAGAAAGCCCAAATCAAGATGGTCTTTTCTGAGAAAATGTATATAGTATGTGGTAAATTATTAAAAATTTGACTTGTTGGCCGGGGATTTAGCTCAGCGGTTTCGCCGCCTGCTGCGCAAGCGCAAAGACCCGAGTTCGATCCCCGGTACCAAAAAAGAAAAAAAAAAAAATTTTTCACTCGTACCTAAACCATGAAATGGTTTTGAGAAAAAATTAATTTAAAGCACAGTATAGATATTTCATTTACCCATAATCAGATCTATAATTAAAATAAAATCCGAGGATCTGATAAAATAAACAGTAAAATATAACAGTGTTTTGAATAAATGATTATGCTTTTAAAATAAAAGGAACAACTAAAAATTATCAATAAAATGATGAATTTTGTGATGGTTTAGAAACGTCTAAGTATGGGTATATGGACTTAGGTTTTCCTTCTTCTGACACCCAGGTCCTATTGGACCAAGAAGCAGTGGTCAGAAGCTGAATATCCCCACACGGTGTTTCTCCTAAGACATTAAAACAGCATTGATACGTTATAGTGGGACTGCTGGATGTGAACTTGCTCTTTGGAGGTGATGGTTTAGTTCTTTCTCTAAGTTTATCCACTTTTGTCCTGTCTGGGGGAAAGCAGCTACCTTCACAAAACTCAAAGACTCTGAGGTCTTCATATTTTCTTCCCAGTCCGTGATGGCCATTGTTATCTTGCTCTGTGGCAACATGAAAAATACCTCAAGATTTATCTGTATTTCACCCTGTCGAGATCTTCTGTGGATGTGACCCAACTATTATGCACCTCTCAATAGAAACAGACTCTTCTGAATGGAAAATAGAGAAAAAGGAAAGAGCCCCCGAATGACAAGACGACTAGGAACAAAAATGTAACCTACTAAAAACAATTCAACAGGACATTAAAACAGTGAGGAAAGAGACCCAAAACCCCACTCATTTAACATGATATGAATCCATTTGTACAGGAAGAGAAGCCATAAACGAGGGGAAGTGTGATGTTTATTTTCTCATTTTGTGAGATAAAAAGCTCTCGATTTTCACTATAATTTGTTAGATATCAGCAAAAATAAAATTCCCTTTAGGCAAAGAATACTTTGTCTTACTGAATTAAATATTCTTCCTTTCACTCACCTCTAGCCATCTGGATTACAGAGAAAACTACAGCATTTATATGTTTGACATAGAAAACATTTTAACTGATGTTACATCTTCATTTTGTTAGAATTAGGAAATAACACAAAAATATAAGGTATCATATTTGGCACAAGTAGCTGTGGTGGAACACACCTGTAATCCAAGCATTCTGACAGGCTGAGGCAGGAGGATCATAAGTAAAGGCCCAACCTGGGCAATTTAGTAATTTCATGAGACCCTATCTCAAATTAAACTTAAAGGGATGGTAATATGAAAGTGTAGCTCAGTGTGAAGGCCCTGGGTTTAATACCTAATATATAGATATATAAATAAATAATAAATAATATAAATAAATAATATAAATAAATGCATATACATATTTTACCACAGGCATGGTTTCCTCTCTTTATAAAGCTGAGATAAATAGCAATAATTAATGAAGCTTTCAAGCCTCCAGTATTAACAGAGCAACTTTACAATAGCAATGCATCCCAGCTCTGCAGTGCATTCCAAATATTCCAATGGCCTTTGGTAGGCAAATGAAAAGTCCCAGATATCATAAAATATCTTCATTGTTAGAATTTTGCTAATTGCTCCACAAATCATTTTAAAATATTGTTATGTAATGCTTGCTTCAAAAGGTCTTTCTGCCGATTTGGAGGGCTACTCTAGGAATCCTAATTTTAACAGAAACAATGCTTCTCTAACCAGAGAAATAATAATGGCTTCATTTTCAGAGAAGTGAGCACAAATAATACATTTGTATAAACATACAAAACATACATTAGCCAGAATGAGCACATGTGCACAAAATTCCTCTCAACACATATCCAGTCAACAGAATCAACATCATCTGTTGGTATCAACACCACAGCACGGTAACCATTTTCTGTCTTTTTCCCTTTCCCTCTCCTTTTAAACCTTCTTACCTCTCTCCCTCCTTGTCCTGCTTCCAGTCTTTTCAAGTTTAAACCCTGAAAGAAAAACATACATGTATTATTGTCAACAAAGAAGAAGTAACTTACAATTAGTGCTACATCAAGGATGTTAAAGTAACCCATTCATTATAAAGAGCCTTCTGGCTATAGATGAATATCTCATACTCTACACATGTGTGTGTGTGTGTGTGCGTGCGCACGCGTGCGCACCTGTGCATGTGTATTATGTAAAGTTGGTCTTCTAGGAGAGGCTAATGCATTTCTTGATAAACCTGAAGACTACATGTTAAACAGAAACAAAATGCATCTGTTTTAGCAGTGCTTGCCTGCCATTTGGTGAGATCTAGAGGTAGAGGGTACCAATTAAATGAGAAGTAGTATAAGCAGTACGTGCCATGTTGGCAAGCTGCTGCTCCTCCTCATCCCTCCTGCCACATCTGGGGTCCGAAAAATTGGGTGAGATTGATTAAAAACAGCATCCCAGACAGCACTGTGATCATCTAGAACATATTAGGGATTTTAGTTTTAAAACAAATGTTTCAAATATTCAAGATTTAGTTTAAAAAATGAGTTTTCAACTCCTGAAAATTATAACTGCTTTTCACAGTAGAAAAAGAGAACCTACTTGAACTCCCTAATATACACTCTACATAATTAAAAATAAGAACAGTTACTCTTGTTCTTAGGAAGGTAATTTCCAAATTGGCGTGTGACGCAGGGTGAGAGACCACAGAGAGATCTATTTATACCTATCTATCCATCTAGCTTTCATCTTTATCTATCTTCACTCAATTATTATTCTTTAGTAAAGCAATATAATATGGAAGAATAATTTATGCTTCGAACCCCAACACAAACTTCTATTCATCACTTTCTCTGTATTGTAGTATTGTATCTTAATTACAGTTTCCTTACAATACTTTATTCTTTTATTTTCCCTTCCTCTTTTTTCTCACTTTTATCCCCCCACTTTCTTCTTCTTACCCTGTATCCATTTTACAATGCACACTTAGTAAATGTTTGTTATGAATCAGTCATCATGTAGACATCGAAAATATAAAAATAACAATGTAAAGGAGAAACAATGAGAAACATGGAGAGAGTTTGCAAAAGGGAAGAGATCTAGAGATGAAAGGCAGGGAAGAGGGGATGAGAGAGAATAAAAAGAATTACAATAGGTTAAGTACTTGTACCTATTGGCTATGATGAATGCAAACATTACATATGGCAAAGTTACTAATAAAAATTTTAAATAAATAGTTCCTAAAATTTAGAAGGTCATTGATATAAGCTAATGTGAAGACAAAACTCGAGGAGAATGAGGTCAGGCCTGTACAATTTTGTCTGATCATAAGAATACAGAGGCTAGTTCTGCCTGGGAGTGGAGACCACGTGGAGGACCACAGAGACAGTCATGAGCGAATGGCCTCAGGCTGGAAGCACAGGAAGAAGAGCCAGTAAGTACTGTGAAGAGTTAGCAGCAGAGCAATAATACAATCTTGTGTTCCTCAGAGATAACAGTAGACTAGCGTCCGTGTGTTTGTCATGAAGATTAATGAGGTAATACATGTATAGCATTTAGCAAATATCCAGGCATAATTTATAACAAAATGGTAATTATTACCTTCCTTTTCTTCTCATTTCCTGAATTTTATTATCATTATTATACATAGATAATATGTCTATGCATAAGATCAATTTGAATACATCCTTGGGTTCTGTCTTTGATTTAAGGAATGCAAAGTATGTCGAAAAATGTAAGTAATAAATAATAAGGACATTCATATCAACCAGGTAAATTTAAAATATTATTCATATACATTTTCTTATTTGATACTTTTACAGCAACATTCTCAAGTAAATGTTGTTTTGGAGATAATGGTTATCATTTCTTTAAATGGTGTTTCTTCTCCTCACTCCCTGTCAATTACTTCTGGAATTTAAACAAATGTAAAATTACTTATTATTGCTCCACATATCATCAACATTCTCTTTAATTTTGTGAAGTTTTCTTTATTCTTGGTGCTCCATTTCCCATACTTCTGTGGTTACATCTTCAAATTCATTTATCTTTTCTTCCATATTATCTAATCTGATGTTAATCTCATTCTGTAAAATTTTATTTCATAATTTTATATTATATTTTTTCTCATCATGTTTTATATTTTTCCATAAGTTATTAACATATTTATACTTATGACAGTGCTTTGAACATCTTGTCTATTAACTACATGTTCTGTCATTTCTAGATCTGTTTCTAATGACTAAATTTTCTCCTGGTTATAAATATCATTTTCTTTTTCTTGGTGTCCAGTAATTTTTATTCATTTACAAATATTGTGAATTACATTTAGTTTAGTGTTAATTTTTTTTGTACTCCTTTTGAGAAAATTAGAACTGGCTCCCATAGACACTTAGCTTACTTGTTTGTCAGATTGATTCGGCTGAAGCTTGGTTTTATTTATTTTCTTTTTCTTTTTTGTTAGTACATGCTTGTAATACAAAATTATTATATTCATCACAGGGAGTAGGTTCATGAACATGACACATTAATTCTTTTTTCATCTTCCTCTCCTCCCCTCTCTTCTCCCTCTCTCCATCTTTTGGTACCCTTTCCTTTTGCAAAAGTTTGGATTTAAGTATTTTGGGGGTCATGAAGCTGAAATAATTTTTAGAATTAACTTATCCCTGTTATTAAGCTTGACCCTTCTGTGCTGTGTACTTAGTACTCCTTATATTCGCTCAAAGTTTGCTACACTGGCTGATAGGAATCCATGGGATTCCCAGGGCTGAGAGAGGCCTAGGAATATATCCACTTACAGTTCTCCGGCAATTACAATTCTCTAGCAGTTGTTTTTTTCCTGGAAATGTGAAATTTCATGCTACTATGAGAAGATCCATGGGAAACAAAGTCTCCAGGGCCAAAACCAATGACTCAAAGGAACACCTACTCAGACTTCTAGAGCTTTCTCTGTGCAATTTCTTTCCCTCTGGTAAACTGATCCCAAAATCCTAGTGGTGTTGGTCTAGCCAAACTCAGAACACTGTCTTAACTGCAAATCTGAAAGTCAATGAAATTCTCTTTGGCCTATTTCTCTACATAGAGTGTTCCAAAACTTGCCACAAGGCAGGAATTCAGATTTTGCAACTTCCTCCTTATTTATTTCCCTTCTTTCAGAGATTGGTAATGCTCCCATGCCTGGTTGTCAACATCTGGATACTGTGTTAGTAATTTAGTACAGTTCTCTAAGTACTACAGCTAGTGGGCAAGTCTTTTTTGGTACCGGGATTCGAAATCAGGACCTTATGCTTGTGAGGCAAGTCTTACAGACATTGTTCCTTCAGAATAGAAACAGAAGTCAAGGAAAGTATTATTTTCTTTTCTGAAGGAGGAAAATATCCCTTATGGAATTTAAATTATGTTTAGTGCCATGTCTAGTAGTAACAAAAGGTAAAATTTAAATTAATGATTTCAGAGTCTAGATTGGAAGTTTATCCTTAGTAGAATTTCTTCAAATTCACACCAGTCAAAATGTTTAATGTGTATATTAAAATATTTTTGAAACAATAAAATAGGTAATTTGGGGAATTATTTGAACTCCTTACTTCCTACTTATCAGTCTTCTAATTTTCTCTTTATGTGTATATATATATATATATATATTTTTTTTTTCTCACAGAAGAGAAGCAGGCTCGTGTGTCTGATTTATTTCATTTAACTTTATATTCTCAAGTTGCAGTCATTTACCTACCTCAAGTTTATCTTTCTTTATGGCAGAGTAGTACTCTAGTCTGTATAAATACTGTATTTTCCTTATCCATTCATCTGTTAATACACTCTTTCCAATTTGTTTCATTTATACTACCAGTTTCTCAGGGCCAGGGATTTAGCTCAGCACTTTTGCCACCTGCTGCGCAAGCTCAAGGACCCAAGTTTGATCCCGGTACCGGAAAAAAAAAAAAAAAATACTAGTTTCTCTTCTTTCACTGAAAAGAAAGGATTGTGCTATCATCTGTTTTTTTCTAAGTCTTTTTTATCTGTCTTATACTCTGAGTAATTATTTTAAGATTATAATACATAATGTGTTAAGTTATTGATATTCTCATTGTTACAATTTTTTGTTTTATTTTTATTAAATAAAAATGTGTTACATTATTATGGATACAAATTTATTGTGACATGAAAAACATACTAAAGGCATGTTGATTTCTGGAGGCAACTTAGTGACTTCTAGTGGCTGAGTTTAGGGATTTAACAAACAAAAGAAACACCTTCATGCTTGCAATTTGTGTTGCCATGGTACAAATGAGATACTATATAAACTGTAAAAACCTTGACTACAATTTTAGGCACTAGATTATTGAAATATCAGTTTTAAGACTGAAAAATTGAGGCACGGGATCTGATGGAAAGAATTAGGGAGCCATATGGGCAAAGAATAATGATCTAAGAGGATCCTCAATGTGGCAACACAGCCTTAGGCAGGATTATATTTTGGTGGAAAGTCACATAGTCTAGAGCATACTGAGATTCACTAAGAGTACTTGAGGAAGGATTTGGGAGATGCTAAACTCTGAAAGATGACAGGGATTAGTCTCGCTACTTAAGCAAAACTCAGTCTCCAATTTGGAAGAATAAGTATGTAAAGCTGTTGTCCAGGGAAACTTGTAGCAACCTTGATTTTTGTTGAATGTACTTATAGTGATCTGGTCAGTTGGTTTTGAAATATTGGACTACTGTGTCACCTCATTTAACCAAGGATAACATTTAGGCAAGGGATAATTTGAAAAGAAATATTAGCCAGGCATGGTGGCTCACTCCTGTAATCCCAGCACTTGGGAGGCTGAGGTAGGAGGATTGCAGTGAGTTTGAGGCCAGCCTGAAATACACAGTGAGATTCTGTATTAAAAAATCATCATCATCATTATCAATCATCATCATCATCATCATCATAATCATCTCAAGGAAACCAAAGTCTTTTTGCCATACACACATACATATGCATTTTTTTGCATCATTAAATGTATTTAATTTT